TTTCCTGTACCTCAGCTTCCCTGCTAACCTCGTAAATCCTCCCACAATGAACCATCTATACATCATCTTTCTTGAATGCACACATGGCCCCAGCTTGGCTCTTACCTACTTGTCCAAGAGACCACAAAGGACCCATTGTGGATCAACCTCAGCTTCCATGCTAGTTAAGAAGGAAGGAAACTCGGGAGCTTCAAGGGGCTGTGTCTCTGGGATTACCTCACTACATGGATTGTCTTGAGGCAAAATGTCCCATACTCCACATTAGCCCCATTAAGCTTTGAAGTGCTAGAAGCTTTGAGACCACACAAACTCTGAACATTGTGTGTTCCTGAGCTCCCACCTCATTTATGTAGGATCTGCAGCTGAGGTGTCCAGCCAAGTTGGAGAGAACCACCACATCACCTAAAGAGCTGGAAGTCTAGACAAAGATGTAGGAAACAGAAAGGTTTTCAGCACGTGTGGGCTGAACTCTGAGAATATCTAAAACAGTTTTAGGGCTCCCTGGCTTTCTGCTCCGGCGTTGAGCTCTGAGGTCACCAGCTGAGCCTGCTAGTGGCCTGCAAGCTCTGGGAGTCTACATCTAATTTTATTTAAAGTACTTCTATTGCAAAGCTTTGTTAATGCAAAACTTCTTTCCCTCACTTTTGCACAAAACAGTTAAAGATGAAAAAAAAAAACTCTGGAAGAAAATACTCCAGAATTAATTCCAGAAATTGGCTAAGATGTTTAATTATATGTTCATCATTTTAGCGTCTAACAGCATTACCAGCAACACTCTTTTGAGAGAGGTGCAGGTAGAATAAATGCTGCCATTGTTTTTTCTCATTGTCTGGCAATGTAATAAAACTACTGTGCTACAAAGATGGAAAATAAGACCTTACACAGGAAACTCTGTAAATACAGAATAAAATCAATACAATAAAAGATTCAGGATATACTGTTGTTGCCTGTAACACTAGTATACCCAAGTGCATAATAAATACATCTTCTGGTTCTCATCCTTCACAGCAGCTGATTTAATGATAATTAGGAGTAGGAGATTCTCACAAAGAGGTCATGCTACATTTTAATGCATTATTTTCTTGTTTTTTTCACGATGGAAACTATCATTTACAAGCAATGTGAATATAGATATAGATAAAATTGAGACTGAAAATGAGACAAACGGGGCTGATGTTCTGGTACAGACTACAGTGCTACAAAACTTGAGATTGTGTCGCACCAGTTGGGCCAGTTTCAAGTCCTGTGCTTTTACCACTTACCATGACGACCCCTCCAGACTGCTCTGCAGTGCACATGCTCATTATGGGCGCCATGCCAATGGTAGTCCCTTGGAAGTACACCCCGCTGCAGGAGGGAGGGAAAGGAAAAGAGAAATCACAGAGTCACCACTCAGTGCCAAGATACCGCCCTAATATTTTCAGTCTTGTATTTCTGCCAATCTCAAACAAAGATCCCACTTCCAATGGGTCAGCTCCCGACATTTGCAGGTTTAAAACAATGAAAAGCAAAGATTAGTCATGGCGACTTGCCAAACTGACAATGACAGCATCCCTGCTCTGGGAAAGATCCATTTGATCACCGTCCTTTGGGTTTACTGCTGTAACAGGACCCTTCTTTCCTTTCCTTTTTCCCCTCGATTGAAGTTGGGAATCGAAATACAAACATGAAAATAATGTCTCTAGCTCAAAGAAAGGTTATTTTAATGCAGTGGGAAGTTTATATGCTACTTGTTATAATACACAGCCTGGAAAGTAATAATTCCAAACAAAGTATTATTATATATGGAGAGCAATAAAATATCTCATGAGGCACAGTTTGGAAGGGCTCACTCTATTCTCACGCAGATAATGTAAGAATATCTACATAACAAGTAAAGAGCTCCTTTTAATTACTAAGATGTCAGGTGTGTTTATCTCTATAGTATAAAAAATGGTTCATTGATCAAAATGATACCTGGTTCGAGAAAGAGATGTTTCTCTTACTCACATTTTTTTTTAAGAGTGCTTTTACTTTGAGCATGTTTATTCAATTACTTTAATCCAGGAAACAGCAGCAGGGTAGAAGATGTTTATGATTTAATTTTTAAGTCACAAATGCAAATGAATTGTCCAAGGAGGTTGTGGATTCTCCTTCTCTGGAGACATTCAAAACCTGCCTGGATGCCTTTTTATGTGATCTCATTTAGGTTCCTGCTCCAGCAGGGGGATTGGACTGGATGATCTTTCGAGGTCCCTTCCAATCCCTGACATTCTGTGATTCTGTGATTTAGACTGTGTTTTAAAGTTTGCTGAGGTCTTTCTACTAATGAACAGGCTTCACATAGTGCCCCCTTAGCTCTACTTTTGGGGTGAGGGCAGGACTGCCCTTTTCAGTAACAATTTAGATTGAGACCAGCTTAAACCGCTTGTAAATTCATACTCGAAGTATTTACCAGCTTATTTCACATCTACACTGCTGCATGAGTTGTATTCAGGCAAGGCCTACAAGTCACAGGGCTGTTGCAGAGCTGTGGAAGGAAATTAATCTGAAGCATCTGCTGAAGGGCTCTGCAAAGCACTTTTTATGGTTGCAGAGGGGAAAGACAAACCCTCAGGAGCACAGATGTTCCTCCTAACAGCTTGGCAGCTGGGGGAGAATTCAGGACAACTGTTCTCAAATCACTGACATCCCAGATGATATTAAATACAGTGTCAAGGCTACCTTATCAGCTGTGCATTGTCATGGGGTTTACGAGGTAGTAGTTTTAGCTTTCTCCAGTCCAGAAACTCATGGAGGCTGGTGAAAGGGTCTTGAGAAATAGAGCACTTATCCATGTCATTCCATACTTCCACTCCAACCAGGGCTACTCGAATATTTAGTGGCCTATAGAACTAATGAAATAAGAAAAATAAAAACATGTCAAAAAACCACGTTTTAGATCACATTAGATTGGAATATTTCAACATAAGCATAATACACATACGAACCTTTCTTGCAGAGGGTCAAAGGGTCTCCTCTTCCAGAGCAAAACTGAACACTTAATAGGACTAACTTAGAAAAAATATTTCCATGACTTAGAGAAAACAGTTCTGACCTGACTAAATATCCATCAGGCATTCAAAGACATCCAGAGATATGCTACTTCTCTATGTCCCACCCCAGTCTGGAATCTTCCTTCATGTGTCCTTCACTTCTGAATAAACTTATTGCTATAGCAGATGACTCTCTCCATGCTGCCCTCCACCACTAGCACAACGCAATTCACAGAATCATAGAATGCTGTGAGTTGGAAGTGACCCACAGGGATCACTGAGTCCAACTCTTGTCCTAGCACAGGACAATCCCAACATTCAGATCATGTGTCTGAGGGTCTTGTCCAAATGCTTCTGGAATCTTGTCAGGCTTGGTTCCATGAATTCAAGAGGGTAGAGGCAGTTGTGCTGACTACAGTTGTGGTTCAAAAAAGTAGCTGAAAATTTAGCCAGAGTCATTAAGTCTTGCTCACAGCAAATAAAACCAAATGATTTTAGCACTGTGGGCTACATCACACTGTTATCACACTAGTAAATGCCACAGTTGCTAAAAGAGGGGAGCCAGAGCAGCATTAGTAATGGAGTAGAGATAACAATTTTATTTTGAGACTAATATGAAGAAAGATTCAAGAATCGATCACGTCCAGATTTGTCTGACAGTCTAAGCAAAGCATAGACTAGATCTGTGTCTTGTTTATATGCATTACAGTCATTTGGATAACACTGGCATTTGCTGTGCATAAATTAAGCATGAAACATAAATATATTTTAATATGCAAAATTAATTTTGAGCAGGTAACATATAAACACCTGTACTCCAGTAATAAGTCAGCAAGACAATTATGGAAGAGGTGGAGGTGTCTTCAGCAGCTTATTTTTAATCAAGAATACTTCTTGAGTTATTGCCCTTGAAGCATCACTTGATAAGTTCTCAGCTAAATTAAGACTCCTTCAGTTATAATTTCACTACTGGACTCCTAATTTTTTCTGGCCATATAGCACAACAAAAATAAACTCTAATTTGTTAAAAAACACTGTAGAGGACTCTTAGCATTTATTGTTTATTGTCAAGAAATTAAAATACAAAAAATATAGTGTATGTCTCTGTCATACTGCTCTCACTCAGCCATCAACTCCTGCTTCCTTAAGCACTGCATGTTTTTAATTCTGCTATCTTCCTTGGGCTATATATCTTATTGACCATGTCTTCACAGGCTCTTTGTTGACCTCAACAACTAGAACAAGCCTTGCTGCTGCAAAGGACTTTGTTCTCCACATTCCTCCTCAAAACAATCATTTTTTTCTATGCGCTGTTCTACATGGGATTATCCCCACCTTCTTCTCAAGTTAATAAAATCCTAGGGCTAAATTGTACATGTCCTCAAGAATACTGCTTCCACAGATACATGCATCCTATATATAGTTCATGCATTACTGAGCACTGTTCGGAGGGGAGCAGAGATCACAGCTTAGTATGTTGAAGGGCCTATGAAAGGTTTAGGTTTACTTTTTGTGCTTTACTGGTTGGAGAAAAGGATTGCTCTGAAATACTGAGTATTAGGAAAGCAGCAGGGTTAGCTCTTTGAGAAGGTGGGTGGATAAGGAGATGTGGCAAAGGCTGTGAAAGTTGTTGATCTGAGCGTGGCGGGAGCACTGGGAGGGTGTGATGGGGACACAGTCACTAGTAAGAAAGGAAATATTAGAAATGTATGACTTATTCTTACCAATAAATCTCTGTGACAAACTTTTTCTTTTCATGAAACCTTAATTTATAAGCTTTAGAAAGTTTCTGAATTTATTAGTAGATGAAACGTAGATTTCACAGCAGCATCCTTCAGAAAGTGTAGCAAGTTTGGAGAAAGTGAGATAATGCTAATGTTCTTACCTTATCAACATAATTTGCAATTTCTATCAGCCTCTGCTTAATTTTTTCCACGTCCTTGCCTTGTCTCTGAAACTTGGAATGTAAAGGATCAATGTACTAGCAGCACAAATATCATAGAGTTTCCCCCAAACAGCCACTTGACTCTGCCAGCATTCTCGGTGATGTTTGGGGATTACACAGTGCCACCAAAGGCCATCAGCAGACTCCTGTAGGCCTCATAGGACCAAGGTCTGCCTCAGAATAAGCACAGGCCATGGGATAGGATTATGGTTCTAACAGAAGACTTTAAAATCCCTATGTTTCACATAGGGATCTTTCAGGGACTGATATTTTGTGAAAAAGAAAAGGCTCTTTCGTTTGCTCCTCTTCCAGGAGATAGATTGTAATTCCCTAAGTAGCAGTGTTCAAGGAGACAAAAAAAATATGTAAGTAGTAAAATAATTCAAGCCAAGATTTAGATCTTTGGCTGACATTCAGTTCACTGGAACATTTCTACAGCCAGCCCTGGTTACTCACTTTGAAGCTCTCTGCAAACTGTCATGAAGGCAGTCGTGCTTCATGCAATGTGATGGTAAAATACTACTTCAAAAGCAAGGGCAGGATCCTACAGTGTCTTCCAAACAGTGGTGGTCCCGCCGAGGGCAGAGTCAGAGAAGGCAATGAACTAGCTCAAAGTGATCCTAGGCAGCAAATCTGCATTTGCCTCTTCTTGAACTACTGCCAGATCATAGAATCACAGAATGGTTTGGGTTGGAAGGGATCTTAAAGCTCATCCAGTTCCAACCCCCCTGCCAGCAGCAGGGACACCTTCCACTAGACCAGGTTGCTCAAAGCCTCATCCAACCTGGCCTTCAACACTTCCAGGGAGGGGACAGCTACAACTTCCTTGGGCAACCTCTTCCAGTGTCTCACCACCCTCACAGGGAAGAATTTCTTCCTAATATCTCATCTAAACCTCCCCTCTTCCAGTTTAAAGCCATTTCCCCTTTTTCTATCACTCCCTGCCTTTGTAAAAAGTCCTTTCCCAGCCTGAGGGATAACCTCAAGATATGACAGATATCCCAGTCATTTGAGAGTCAAATTCCAAGTACTGCAAGGAACATTTACAACTGACTGAGTGGAGTGTTGCCCTACCTCAATAGTCCCTTCCATGGAAGCTGAACTCAGCTACCCATTTCCTACCCATGCTTCCTATAACTTCTTAGTTTAATTCTCTTACCTCACGATTATCTGCCACAATAACAAGCTCCACATACTTTGTTGTCTTCAGAGTCTCCCTCTTGTACTGCCAAAAAAGAGGAAAAAAGTATTTTGTTTTTGCAATAAGTAATATTTGGAATCAGCTCTGCCTGAGTTCCAATAAAGTGTTTGCAAGAGGAGATAGACAACATCTCAGACTTTCAAAGATTTCATTACATACAAATTTTCATTGTATTCCTTTTCCTCATGGACGTTTCCCTCTTATCTACTACAACAGAAATAGTCTACATGGTACTTACAAGAAAACCCCCAGGATTTGATCAGAGCAATGAGGAAAGTGGTGCAAAGTCTCTCTCAACCTTTCAGCTTTCTGCAGTTGAAAAGTTTGAGTTATCTTTCCTCACAGGAGAGTATCAACTGTAGCAGAAAGACCTTTGCTATTTCCAAGTCACATTTGAAGAAACTATGAGATGACTTTTAGCAAACATTTCACACAATTGACAAACTGGCTACTAAGAAAAATGAGAGATAAAGGGATATTGAGTGAAGCAGAGAAGAGATCAAGTGGTCAACTGATAAATAATGTAGGAAGAAAAACTCAAGAACAAAAGCTGCAGAAAAAAACAGAATGAACTGTCAGTGTTTGGGGAAGCAAACTAATACGCTAAATTCAGAAGGCATATATTTAATTTTATATCCAGATATTCATATAAAACAGCTGGCCATGCTACTTGCAGTTCTACATGCAGGTCTAAAAGAGTCATAATTTTGCTTAGCTGCAAAAAGATCATGGAAGAAAATTAAATGGTTTTATAACAGTACTAATGATAGCACAGCTCCTCTGCTACCCTAAATTTAAGTGACCTATTAATGACTGTACAAGCTCCATGATTTACAGCAGCTGAGCATCTATTCCATCATTCCTCCCTTGTTTCTGGAATAAGACAGGGAAAAGAGGTCTCAGCAGTAAATCTCATCTTCATGCCAAAACTTAAGGAGCTTAAGCAGATGTATGACCTACTAATGACCACAATGTCTTGAACTAAACCCATGCTCTATAACCTAAAACATGACTAAAGCTTTCCAAAGCAAACTGTTCCAAGGCAAACTATGTGATCCTCTAAGCTAAGTCAGTGCTGGACATCACCTTCCAGCCAAATTTCACAAAGTTTTCTTCACGTTACCCAAGTGTTTCTCTTTGTTATCTGCAGATTAACCATTTTGAATGTTTTGCGAGAAGCATTGTGTTTAGAGGAAAGTGACAGATGTAACCCTTAGTAACTCTGACTTTTAAACTCATATTTAAGTATTACACGGCCTTCAAACTACAATAAATAGTTAAGTTCCATTTGGATAGTATTTATGAACTCAGAAAGATGTAAAAGCTATCATTAACGAACTAAACATCAATGATACACACACTTCACAGGATTACACTTATTAGGGAGTCTGGGAAATGAGCTCAGCTAGATATTCTTACAACTTCTCCTGGTATTGGGGTTCTCTGTCACCTCCTTGTGGTCTACTGCAGGCAACTGTCACCACCATGGGGCTATGAGGTGTGCACAGACTTGGTGCACATGCTCATGCCTCGTCTGCCACACAGATCATCAGTTGTTCCTGTTGATACACTGGCTGGGAACCAGGACACCAAGGAATCAGTGTGTTCCTTCCTGCTGCTCTTGGAACAGCAGCAGATGCAATACAAAGGGCCTGCCATGTCTCAGTAGACTTCAGCTGAACCTACCGTGCTCTGGCAGAGCTTGATTTATCTCTCTGCAAAATATATCAGATATGAGTGAGATGCCACATAAGGCAAATGACCATGTGGGTGTTGTTTGTAACAGAATAGATTTCTCAGACACTAGAAGTCTAACATAAACTTGAAATTTAGTATGCAGCTCTGATCAGAGATGCACCTCCAAGGTGCCTCTAGTCTTCTTCCAAATGAAGAGTAAAAGATGAGACATGAAAATCCAGGTACAAAGACAGAAGAAGAGCGCTGTTACATCAGCCAGTTTAAACCATTTACTTTTTACCAAGAGTAAAACTGTTGGGACTGGAGAGAGATAGCCTGAGAGAAATTGGCTATCAGGGAATAATCATGTAAGCCTCTGGTGAGTGACTTGCATAACAAATCCATTCCTGTGATTTGCCCAAAGGCTATGTGAATTCCTTCGATACAAAATTTATTTATGAAATGTACCTAATTATGACTTCTTTCAGCGTGCTTTCTGCAGCCAACTGCATCAATGCACAATCCATTGCCTGAGTTAATCCTTTAGAATTAAAATGAAGAGTCAATAATACAACTATGATACACACAACGGGAGACAATATTCTACCACACACACATCAGGTTTACTTTCTGTAGAATCCTATTCTCAACGGAGCTCAACTGGAAAACACACTCCCTGCTGCAATTTGAGGGTTCACTGAGTTATGAAATGACCCAGTATTTATAGAGGTCCAGCTCCAATGGGGCAAAACGTGTCTGCACACATCTGCTACATTACCTGACCTGCTCTATTAAATCTTGTGTTTGGATCTGGGAAGCTGAGTCTACTGCTTGTCCCATCATTTATCCATATTTCATCTAACTCAAAGTCTGGTCTAACTTTGTGATATATTGATCTCTCATTTCAATAAGAATTTTGGGTAGGTAGTTGAGTGAAGCATCAGGGAAAAAAACCCAAAACAAACGGAAAGGTCCCCCCAGTCAAGAAACCCAAAATTTTCATCATGCCCTGAACCTGAGACTAGATTTCGCTTACTTCTGCCACTCACTGTAATGTGGAACAGTCTTATGTCTCTATATTTTGCAAGTCATCTTTATTCAGTATGTCCTGACAATCTACTTAGCTGATGACAACACTGAAATGTGAAAACTTACTCCATGCATTAGACAACTTTCAAAATTCATACATTAGAAGCATATCCAACATACTCATTATGTATATTGAACCCATCCATATGATGTGACTGTTGACAGTTTTTATAATTATGTCCACTGAACCACAGCAAAAATATTTTTCAGATATTTAAGGTGAATTCTGTCACACAGTTGAAGCCATCAACAAAATGTGAGAACCATAAGGGTAACCGTAAAATTCCTTTGATTGTATCAGCTGGTTGTGTGCACACATTTTATTTCAGTTGCCTAGTGCTACATTGATTACCTGAGTGAAATTCAGTCAAAAGCCATAAAGATTCCGAGGCAATCTTAATAAAGTTGTGAAAAGCACTTTTCCAATGCTTTCAACCTACACATGTTTTCAGAAATACACTTAGCCCAGAAAATGTTACATGTAAAGGAGAATGCATTAGATATAATCCTAAAACATCAAATAACTTAATTTTTCATTACATAAATAATATCTAAGGATGTAATTTAGGTTGCTTTCCTTAACAATTAACTTGACGTAAGGGCTTAGCAGTACGTGTACAAATAGATCCCAATATGTGGCATTTAATAAATGCTGAGGGCAGATTGGTATCGTCGTATCATTTCTGAACCCCTAAACGAGTCTTTTCTACAATCCCCATCCAATATGCAGATGAACTTATCACAGTATTTCCTCTTCCTGTTTTTTAGCTCATTTCATTTTCTACAGTTTCCATTAGCTAGATGCATTTCATATTAAGTGCATTTCTTCCTACATGGAAACAATTATAATAATATATTTGTAAAATAATATGGTGAGAATTTTTTTTTGTCTGCGTAATATATTTCCCTACTAGAATGTAAATATTCAAAACCTAATATTAACAAAGCATCACAGCTATTATGTTCTCTTCCATCTTGGGTGGGCAAGAGCTTTTCCAGACATTGCTCATTGTTCTTGGGGTCTTAAATTCTTGCTATAATCATACATGAACCAAAATATATTACTATAATATGAAACCACAAACTTTTCTCTGCTTTCTCATTACCAAAAAGAAAGTAAAAAGCAAGTTATGCACGCAGGATCAAGAAAAAGTAATAAAGAGCTAGCAAATTGTGTAAGTCTCTGCTTAATTTTAAGCATGTGCTTAAGAACATGATGTCAACAGAAATCAGGTTTAATATTTTGCTCAGGAGGGACTCTATGTAACAGAGTTATGGTGGACAGTAATATGGGAATGCTACCAGAGATGTACTCAGCAAACTAGAAATATAAAAGTGCATCATCCACCTACCCTGCCAGCTTGAGAATGGTGTGATGTGTCATTGTCATCAGCTCTTATGGCAGAGATGTCCAGCTGGTGGCCACAAGATCCTGGGGCTATTTTCAAATTCTCTGCTCGGTAGATCTTGTGTTTATTTGTAGCACCTTCTAATGGCTCCAGTATGTAGGTTTTGTTTTCAAATACAATAATTCCCCTGTTACAGAAGAGAAATGATTAAGATGCATGGTTTTCAAGAGCTAATGTATGTTCATCTACAACAGAGTTACAACAGGTTTTATTAATGACGGAGTATGAAAGAGCAAAACGCTGATTTACAATGTCATGGTCGAGTGGAGCAGGAAACATCAAAGCTGTATATTTGTCATTGCAGCACACCATACTTTAAAAGAAGCAATGGCTCAAAGATCATTTTCCTCTTCTGAAGTGCTGTGCTGTAGAAGAAAATTACATTTTTTTTAATGTGTTTTCCATTCTCCCAGTGATGCATTGCCATTGCTGAGCGGAGTCACCACGTGTGTGCTTCTCAGGACCCGTGGCAATCAGTAATGAACAAAAGTGTGGTGAAATGCTTTTGTAAGAAAAGGTACAGGGTGAAAGTATTATGAGCTGCAGTAGGTATTATACCTTTTAAACCAAATGCTGATGCAAGCATCAATTTTGCCAGATGAAAGAGGCATTGCAGTAGCAAAATGGATTATTACACACTGCACAGCGGGACAGCAGAATGAAGCTCAGATATATTAACCAGTGGATTCCTGTTTAACACATTTTACTGCTCAAAATAGTAATTTTAACAGCAATACCACCTGATCTCTGAGGATCTCAAAGATTTCCCATCAAGGAGAGCACTCATTTTGCACTACTGTGAGCTACAGTATGCAAAGAGGAAAGAAGGTTTGAGGAATAGATATACCACCTTGCTCCTGGAAATATATGGAAGATCCTGGGACATGTAGCCAATTCTGGGCTTCATGTGCTGCCTCCTAACCAAAAATCATTTTCCCTGTACACTCCAGACAACTCACCAAATAAAAGCCACACTTTGGGTTCTTGTGCTGAGTCCTACCCAATTATTCTCAGCTGACAGAGTGAAAAAAAAAAAGTTGACAAAAGGTTGAATATCTTTCCAACTCCTCCTACTGAGGAAGCTCCTGACATAAGGTTGCTCTTTCAGCTCAGCACAGAAATATAGGCAGTGTGGTACGGGTGGCCATGGTGGAATAGGATTTCTGGTACTATATGGCATAAAGCAGGATGATCTCCAACAATACCACTGGCATTAGTAACCATAACTGCAATCTGGAGGACCACAGAGTAAGAAGACTGCTCTACTGTACACCAAGAATAGCCCAGCATCAGAAGGCGTGAAATAGATTTACAGACAGGGCACAGGTAAGAAATCACTGTAAGAGAAAGGAATTTAATATTCAGTGTCTAACTTGCATCCCGAGCACAAACTGCCAACCAGTTGGGAGAGTCCTAGACAATTCCTACATCAAACTGGACACCAGATTTTGTTGGATAACTATGTGACCAAAGGAACCCCTTTTAAAACCCATTTCTCTTTTCTAAACCGTGGATAAGCATTTTCCTATGAGGTGTTGTAAGCATTCATCAGTTATAGACACTACACTGAGGAGTTCACTGCATTACTAATTTCTTCCTTGTCTTTACATTATGAAGGCATTAATCCCTAAGCACTGGCAAAGGTTCA